GCAGAGCAAAAATTGTCCTGAAGAACAAACCTGACAGTCTGGCTGTCTATTCACGAGCAATCTACAGACTACAAAAGAGGCAAGACTGGTTCAATAAATTATTCATTTTGGATTATTTGCCCATCTCCTTCCCATCTTTATCAATGCTCTTATTTGGCCAGGGACATTTTTCTATTGAGTCATACACTGACACATGTATCTTTAAAATGGAACAAATATAGGGGCTTTTTAACGCAAGCGTGGAATTTGCAAATTGTCATATTATACACCAAAAATTGTAGAAGACCCGAGAATCACAGCATCAGACATGTCTGCAATTTCCTTCTATTATTGTTATTAAGGTAGTTACACAAGAGATTTCTATTACAGTATGTGGATTTCAATGAGGAGTTTCGTAACACCACCCTCGTGCAAATTCCCTCAGTGATAGCTCCCAGAGGAAAAGTCCCTGTTCTTACCCTATTATTATTTGCATGCTCTCATCACCCCACCTTAACCCTTTCTTGGGTGAAAATAATGAACAGCTCGATGTCAGGTTGATGGTCGGTTTCTAGCGGAGTGCTCCAAGGATCTATTCTTGGGCCTGTTTTGTTCAATATCTTTATTAATGGCCTGGATGAGGGGATGCATTGCACCCTCAGCAAGATTGTGGATTACACTAAGATAGAGGGAGAGGTAGATACGCTGGTGGGCAGGGATAGGGTCCAGAGTGACCTGGACAGATTAGAGGATTGGGCCAAAAGAAATCTGATGAGGTTGAACAAGGACAAGTGTAGAGTCCTGCACTTGGGACGGAAGAATCCCAAGCATTGTTACAGGCTGGGGACTGACTGGCTAAGTAGCAGTTCTGCAGAAAAGGACCTGGGGATTACAGTGGATGAGAAGATGGACATGAGTCATCAGTGTGCCCTTGTAGCCAAGAAGGCTAATGGCATATTAGGTTGCATTAGCAGGAGCATTGCCAGCAGATCCAGAGAAGAGATTATTCCCCTTTATTCAGCTCTGGTGAGGCCACATCTGGAATACTGTGTCTAGTTTTGGGCCCCCCCACTCTAGAAAGTATGTGGACACATTGGAGAGGGTCCAGCGGAGGGCCAAATGATTAGGGGGCTGGAGCACATGACCTCTGAGGAGAGACTGAGGGATTTGGGTTTGTTTAGTCTTCAGAAGAGAAGAGTGGGGGGGGAGGTTGATAGACGCCTTCAACTTCCTGAAGGGAGGTTCCAAAGAGGATGGAGAAAGGAAGAGTGGGGAGGGGGGGGATTTAATAGCAGCTTTCAATTTCCTGAAGGGAGGTTCCAAAGAGGCTGGAGAAAGGCTGTTCACAATAGTGACGTATGGCAGAACAAGGAGCAATGGTCTCAAGTTACAGTGGGAGAGGTCTAGGTTCGATATTAGGAAAAACTATTTCACTAGGAGGGTGGTGAAGCACTGGAATGGGTTACGTAGGAATGTGGTGGAATCTCCATCCCTAGAGGTGTTTAAATCTCAGTTTGACAAAGCCTTGGCTGAGTTGACTTAGTTGGGATTGGTCCTGCCTTGGGCACGGGGCTGGACTAAAAGCTTGATTTTGCACTACTAAATTAATGAGTGTGCAATTGTACAGGGGACAATTAAAGCAATATTAGTCGAAAATCAGATTGTGGTTGAAAACAATTAAAACAAGGGTGGGTAAAATAATGTCCCACAGGCCACATCAAGCCCACCAGGCAATTAGATCTGACCCACCATGAATCTCGGGGCTGCCAATATTCTCTGACACAGCAGAATCCTTGGACTGGTTCCCTGTCTGCCATGCCCTCACAAGCAGCTCAGAGTGGCCAGCTGCTCGGGACAGCATGTGCATCTCAGAGCAGCATGCCCCTTGTGGGGAGTGAGGTATCTGTGCACTGCCCACACCTCCAGCACAATACTTGCAGCTCCCATTGGATGGAAGCCTGCCAATGGGAGCTGCCTGGGCTATGCTTGCTGGGCTGCTTGCCAGGAAATGACTAAGATAAGCATTTCCCAGTCAGAGCCTGCACTTCCTCCCACATCCCAACTCCTTAATCTAGGCCACAACCCCCTCTTGCCCTAGTCACAACATAAACCCTCTGCACCCCTTCCTGAACCTCTACCCCTGCTCCTGCTCACACACCCCTTCCAGATCCTGCACCCACTCTTAAACCTCTCCCCCAGGTGAGAATCCATTCCTGCATCTAACCTGCCTTGCAGACCCTGTTCCCTAATCTCCTACCACAAGCTCCTTTCTGCACCCAACCTCAATCCCAGACTCAAGAACCCCTCCATTAATCCCTTTGGGGTGAGTCTACACAGCACCCTAAACTCAAAATAAGATATGCAATTTGTACTATGCAAATTGTGTATCTTATTTCAAATCTATTTCAAAGTAGCTTATTTTGAAATCTGGCACGTCTACACAGCACCAAATTTCAAAATAACACACTATTTTCAGCCATCCCTTAGCTGTTGTGCAATGAGGTTTACCAGGATGGTGAAATAGCATGCCTGATATTTCAAAAAATATTTCGAAATAATGGGCAGCTTGCATAGATGTGGGCTAGCTATTTTGGGATACCTCCGATATCCTGAAATAGCCATGCAGTGTAAACGTATCCTTGGAGAGGGTGGCCCTTGACGGCTTACCAAATTCTTGGAGTTGCCCCTCATCAGAAATTATTGCCTGCCCCTGTATTAGAACAAGCTCTGTATCATGTAAAGGAGTGACAATGAGTCCAGAGTTGTGTATTTTTAGGTGACCAATGCTAGTTTCAGTGGGAAGATTTCTCAAAGATTCTCTCTGAACTCACTCACTGTCTTTCACTACTTATGATAAAATTTTAGTGTCAACCAAGACTTACTGCCACGGTGAAGGCTCCTGAAGAACGATTATGTGGTTGGAACACCACTAGGAAAACCCAATTGCTTCAGGAAAAGGTGATGATATGTTGCATTCTTCCTGCTTAGACAATACCATACTAACACGTGAGTATGATTTTAAGGACAATAAGATTCATCCAGTTCCTAGGGAAGCTAATGGGAATCTTCTGACTGACTTCACATAGAATTGGCTTGACCCCTATCTGAGTGGGCTGGTGAAACTGCTCTTTTTTGGATGCCAAGTAAAATCAAGGTCCAGACAAGTTGTATTCATTAAGGATCCAATGGCACTTTTTGTACAACTAGCTGATTTAATGTCAGTGTCTTGGCTAAATTCCATCTCAAGTAATTACATTCTGCCTCCTTAAATTCCCCCTTGAGTTTCAAGTGACTCATTATTGTTCACTTTATAAAGCAGTATGATGCAGCATTAATGGTGTGCCCCACTACATCCATAGTGCAGCTAGCTATATGGAAAAGCTGCACTAGAGAATTATTTACCTACTTGGTTCCAATTACTGATATATTTTCTCCAGAATAAATCAGGAGGAGTTCACTCTCAGTTCAGTGCATGATGTTGCTGAGTGTTCAAAATGCATTTTACATTTGCCCCCTTATTGTAAACTATTTGTCTACACCCTTGTGCAAGGAGCTGCAATCTAAGTCCTTCCCATACGCTATGTCTGAAGTCTCTTCCCTCCCAAAGATCACTTGGCAGTGTAAAGTGAAAGATAGAACATGAACTTTAATGTCACTTGCTGGGTGCGCTCCAATTTTAAAGATTGGTCTAGTTGTTTAGGGGCTTAAAAATTTAGACATCTTTTATAAATGTTGGCCGTTAACATTTAATGGAAAGGAAGCACTGGATTTCTTGGGTATGTCTGGTCAAAAATATCACATCAAAGATTTTTGCTCAGGGAAAATTAAGTTTTGATTAACCTCCATTTTACAGGGAAAGCACCTGCATTCCTTAAATTTGAGTTTTCATCAGAAAATTGAAACATTGAAAACTGACAATTTTTAGCCAAACAATTCAATACATGTAAATTTCCACTGGGAGAAAAAAAGTTTGACAAAAAGTCAATACTCCAATCCCTAATTTTCCAGCCATTTGTACTATTGATCTCCTCCCTCACCCCCGTACTTGTTCTAGAGCTTGGATCCTACTTTCTATCAATTGTTTAAATCTTGTGACACAGTTGCAAGAAGTGAAGGAGTAGGAAGTCAGCCTCAGCCTTTCAGATGGAAACATACTTTCCTACAACACCCTATGATCTCATCAATTACCTTTATCTTTCTTCTATTCCCATTCACACCCTTCTGAGTTGTATTTGGGTTGAATATTTTGCCTATTTGCATTATTTGGATCACTCCATCAGATAAGTCGCATGGTGTCTTTTTTCTGCTTCCTGGTGGGTGGCTGAAATATTTTTAAAATGAGAATAATATATAATGAACTGCTGGTGAGACTATTTGGCCAGATAATCCCTGGTGTGAAAATGTATGAAAAGTCTGAGATTTCCAAATATATCCATGTGCCCTCTGCTATTGTCCAAACATTCAAATCATTACTGCCATGTCTCAAATAGTGGCTGTTTCTAATGAAAAATTTCTAAAGTTTTTCATGGGAAGAAAATCCAAGTTTTTTGACAAACAGTCATATGGCCCCAATCTCAACACTTCTAACTGGGAATGCTATAAAAACATGAATGCTATGGAAAATCCTAAAATAGAGAGTTTGTGTAATTTATGAAACTGTTGAAAAGTAGAAAAATATTTTATAAAGTTGTCCCTTATTTTTCTGGAAATGGGTCACTTAGCTGAGTGCATATCTGGCAAATTCAGCGAATACAGGCAAAATAATTGACTGAAACACCTCCATTCTCTCTTTAAAATAAATTAAGTTCTGCACTGAGAAGCTTAAGAATTAAGAGATGTGTGATTTTTTTCCCCTCAGGTTGCTTTTATTTAAAATCTAAGGACACAGCAACATGCATCTCCTGAGCCTTAAAAACTGCTTCTGTCCAGGAAGAGATACACAGAGAGAATGATACACAGATGGGAGGGGGCAGAGAGAGATTTTTATTGGAAGCTGTTAAAGTGGTTGCTATGAGACCTTCTCTAGCTACCCCAGGAACAGTCGTGAGTGTGAGGCTGATAAATCGTACCTCCTGTATCATACCTTTCTTTCTTTTCTATGCTGCTTTTATAGTTGTTTAAGATCAGAGCAAGCACCTGTCAGTTGTTTTTTTCTGCCTTCTCACTCTCCTCTGGTTCCTTGTGCGAGATGGAGCTAGAAAATGAAATTATCAGCTCCTCCAGCAATTCTTCAGCAGGCTCCAGGGAGTACAAGGTGGTGATGCTGGGAGCTGGGGGAGTTGGCAAAAGCGGTAAGTTTTTTTTTTAATTAAAAATTGTAAACTTCTGAGCACACGAACGGCTTGATAAAGGCTTTCCTCCCCCCTCCATCCATTTTTCTGTTTAAGTTCATTTTGATTAAAAAGGGAAAAAAAGCAAAAGTAATGACTGGGAGAATGAGTCAGCTTAGTTTTGTGGCAGAGAAAATCATTGAACTATTTTCTGGTTTTTAGCCAGCCTTTTCTGTCCTTTATAGGCATTGAGATATAGTCAACCTGCAGCTGTTATCTTACTTTTCCGTTCTGCATGTGGCAATACCACTGTAACCCTTTTTAAGGGGTACCGGCACACTGGCCAGTGAATATGTAACTTGTGGGCCTCTAAATCCTCCTTCGTAAAGGCATGGGAGAGAGACTGCTTGCAAAACTGACTGCCAAGTCATCTGTGCAGAAGAAAGTGTGAAGGATGACTACAGCTTCTAAGTTACTTCTTTATTTTGTGTCATGGTGGCTCTGCTAGTGGTCCTCACACCTCCCATCTAGGAAGTTACAGGATGCATGTTTAAGTCTTTCTCCAGGTCATAAGATGGATACTCAGCATATTTTAATATTGCTGTCCAGTGTCGGCCAGGCATAATATCACCTGCGGTGGCCTCTCTTCAGAGCAGCTATTATTTGTTCAGGGACAAGGTTTTATTTTTCTCAGATGTTATCACCGTTTGATTTATTCTCACTGACACTAGTGTTCTTTGAGTGAGAAAAGAAAAGAAAAGAAAAGAAAAGAAAAGAAAAGAAAAGAAAAGAAAAGAGGCTTTGCTGAGCATGTCATGTCTGTCTTTGTACTAGCACATTTAGCCCAGCACAACAACTATATAATTAATTTGCTGGAAATGACTCTACAGCTGTGATACAGCATCCAACAGTCCAGCTTCCATTCAAGTCTGAGAGCAGGCAGAATAAACAAGCTGTAAAACTGTACTGATACTGTAGATGAGCTCTATTTGTGACCTGCCTGGCAAGACTAGATGAAAAGTGTTACATTGTAAGCAGTGAGGATATCATTCTCTATATCTAGATGTGGTATCTAGCATTTTATTAGTTTTAGTTTTAGGGTTGCCTCTGTCACCTAAGAGGACTCTGCCCCATTGATTTTCCTCTCACCAAGCAGGTGACAATGATTGCAGTGTTCTATGCAGAACCGACTGCTGTTCACAACACAAAATAAGAGAAATTGGGCTTCTGATGATATTTTACTGTATGTGTTTCCCAACTCACTTTTATGTGGAAGGAAGGTCTCTATGAAATATGTTTCTACCATAAGTAGCAACAAACCAAAATTTGTTTTCTTTTTCTGAGAGTTTCCAAAAGGTGGCAGCAATTTTTTCTACCTTGACTCTACAAGCATCATTCATTTTAGAAGTTTAGCTCCCCAACCACTGTGACCACTTAAAGTAAAGATATACATGCTGAAATATTCAGAAAGGAATTGGCTTATGAGACATGAATCTCAGGGCCAAACTGAGGAAACTTCAAGGGATTACTAATGTCTACATTTCTAGCACTGGAAAGGTCATGATGCCTACATGAAGTATATTCCAATTAGTTCATATCTTCCTTGTTTGGAAATGAAGTTAATGGTTTCATGAAAAACAAGACTGCTTCCAATGTTTTGGAATTTCCTGAATCAGCCTGGTTGGAAGCAAACAAAGCAGGTGGGGTGTGTGTTTGTTTCCACGTGAGTGTGTGCTTGTGTGTATATGCGGGGGAGGGGGGGGCTGAGTTGGGTGAAGAAATAAGGGCTATATTGGAAAGACATAGGCTACATCTAGACTGACATGATTTTCCGCAAATGCTTTTAACAGAAAAGGTTTCTGTTAAAAGCATTTGCAGAAAAGAGCATCTATATTGGCCCGGATGCTTTTCTGCAAAAGCACTTTTTGCGGAAAAGCGTCCATGCCAATCTAGACTCGCTTTTGCGCAAAAAAGCCCCGATGGCCATTTTTGTGATTGGGGCTTTTTTGCGCAAAACACATCTGAGCTGTCTACACTGGCCCTTAAGGACTTTTGCCCGAACGGGAGCAGCATAGTATTTCTGCAAGAAGCACTGATTTCTTACATGAGATCATCAGTGTTCTTGCGGAAATTCAAGCTGCTAGTGTAGACAGCTGGCAAGTTTTTCCGCTTTTGCGGAAAAACTTGCCAGTCTAGACACAGCCCTAGATTTTATTCAGCTTTGAGGTAATGGTAAAATTTAGGAAATTACTTATTGTGATGGGACAACCTTTAAGGGTTAAAACCCAGCCTTGAGTGAAGGTTTAGAGGGTGGAGCCTGCAGATGAGACAGATGCAGCCAATTAGGGTCCAGCTTGGGCTGTATAAATAAGGGCTCCTGGAGGGAGGAGAACAGATACTCGTGTTGGGGAGCAGGAGGGACCTGGCTGCCAGGGAAGCTGGAGGCTTCTTGGTACAGAAAAGTGCTGGGGAAAGGCAGGCAGAGCTGGGGAGCTCTGGCCTGAACTCACTCCCAGGCTGCAGGGTCTGAGGCGAGGCCTGAGTGTACTAAGGCTGTAGGAAAACAGCCAGAATAGGCAAAAGGAGAAGATCCACAGCCCTTACCAATGATGAGTGGCCATTTCAGAGTGCAGTTTTCCTGAGACAGGAGCTAGATGAGAACTGGCAGTGGGTCACTGAGGAAAGGTGGGTATATGGGACCCAGAGTACAAGGGCACTGACATAGGACAGTATGAGTAGGGCAAGAAGGGTCTTCGGGCTGAACCAGCAGAAGGTCTGCAACGGAAGCTGGGACACTGACCAGCGGAGGTCACTGGTTCCCCAAGTGACCAACTGAAGGCGCTGTGAGGGTAAGCGCCTGCCCTGGGACACCTATGCAGAATAACTCTAGACTCTCAGGGTGCCTCTACACTGCACCGTTATTTCGAGATAACAATGCGAGTGTCTACACAGCAATTCCGTTATTTTGAAATAATATCGAAATAACAGGTGGCTTATTCTGACTTCTGTAAACTTCATTCCATGAGGAATGATTCCTCTTCCAAAATAGCTATTTTGAAATAGCTGCAGAGTGAATGCTTCACTGCTGCTATTTCGAAATAGCTCCTCACCAGGGCCATTCTAAGTTATTCCTCCCCAGTGCCTCCTGGGGCTCTAAATTGAGATAGAGTGTCCATAATAGGGGACCCTGCCTTGGACTAATTTTGAGGCTTCCCAGTAGTGTGGACGCTCTATTTCAAAATAGGCTATTTCAAAACATATCTTCCGGAATATCTTATTCTGAAACTAGCGAATTAGCCCGTCATAAGATTGGATTTTCAGGTCTTCTCTCCTGAGCGCTCTCACTCCATCTCTCTCTCTCCTCCTCCTACCTCCCCTGCTCTCTCTCAGCTCTCCTCTGCTTCCTGCCTCTCTCTCCGTCTCTTTCTTTCTCTTCTCCCCCTCCTGCCTCTCACTCTTCCTTTCTCTTCTCCTTCTCCTCCTGACCTCTCTTCCCTCCATCTCTCCCTGCCCCCCTTCCCCTCCCACTGTGGTGCTTGGCTGAGTGCTCCCTGCTCAGCCGGGCTGCCACGAGGAAGGGGGGGCGGTGACATACACGGCCAGGGGGTGGGGCCATTTATGTCACTGCCCCACCCCCCCTTTCCCCTCCTGCTGCAGGGGAGCCCAAACGGCCCCTTGCGCTGCTGGCTCCCCTGGTGGTCCAGCTGAGGGGTGCAGCCCTCAGCTCAGTGCCACAGCGGTAGGGGAAGGAGGGGCCGTGATGTACACGGCCCCGCCCCCTGGCCGTGTACGTCACCACCCCGCCCCCGGGGCGGTGACATACACGGCCAGGGGGTGGGGCCATTTATGTCACTGCCCCACACCCCCTTTCCCCTCCTGCTGCAGGGGAGCCCAAACGGCCCCTTGCGCTGCTGGCTCCCCTGGTGGGCCAGCTGAGGGGTGCAGCCCTCAGCTCAGTGCCACAGCGGTAGGGGAAGGAGGGGCCGTGATGTACACGGCCCCGCCCCCTGGCCGTGGACGTCACCACCCCGCCCCCTTCCCCTCCCTCCGTGGCAGCTCGGCTGAGGGTTGCGCGCTCAGCTGGGCCACCACTGGGGAAGAGGGGCGGGGCACTGACATACACGGCCAGGGGGCAGGGACATGTACGTCACTGCCCCACCTTCCCCTCCACAGTGGCGGCCCACTGAGGGGTGCAGAACTCAGTGCCACGGCGGGAGGGGAAAGGGGGTGGTGACATACATGGCCATTCCCCCTGGCCGTGTACGTCAGTGCCTCGCCCCCCTTCCCTTCCCGCTGGGGTCCAGCTGAGTGACGCAGCGCGAGCATGGGGAGCGCCGACCCCAAATGGCAGCTTGCAGCCACTTGCTCCCACACCGGGGCCCAGCTGAGTGGTGCTTGTGCTGCGCTGGGCCCCGGCGGGAGGGTAAGGGGGGTGGGACACTGACGTACATGGCCAGGGGGCGTGGTCGTGTACCTCAGCGTTACAGACTCATAGGCACTGGGCTACTATATATATGATAAGCATGCTGTGCAGATGTAACCTTACAAAAGATCATCTAGTCTGACCTCCTGCACACTGCAGTCTACAGATCCTCTTCCACCTAGTCCTGTAATAGACCCCTAATCTCTGACTGAGTAACTGAAGCTGTCAAAGGATGATCTAAAACCTTCACATTACCAATTCGTACATACATATTGGCTGCTAGGGAAGCTCTATTCCCCACAGTCCTTCTGGGCCTAGAAACTACAAAGAGAATTTATTCATTTGGTGTCTTTGGGATGATTTAGTTGGGATTGGTCCTGTTTGAGCAGGGGTTAGACTTGATGATTTCCGGAGGTCCAACCCTATTCTTCTATGATACTATATTATGAAATCACTGATGCAAAAACCCCTGCAGCTAAGTTTTTCTCCTTTTTAAAACATCTGAACTTCTGGCTTTGTATTGATTTGTAAGGAGGAGGACAGAAATGTAATAAGAAATGATGGCTTCAAATTGTTTATGATATAGCCAAAAATATGC